ACTCCCTCAGTCTGGCCGCCAAGGCCTCCCACAGATTCGCCTTCTCCCTGAGGGCCGCGTCCAAGAAGGGGTCTGTCTTCTCTTGCATGGTGACCTTGCGCAACGTGAACTTGGGGTTGCATCCTCTGCGCACCTTCTCTTTTGGCTTGGCATCCGTCATGATACACAGTGACTGCTCCGCTGCTACTGACCACTCGCCAAAGTGGTAGGCCAGCTTGTTTGAACCCTCAGGGTCCAGGCGATACGCCCAGGATTCTGCCACATCATCAACTGGGTCTTGGACCGCTCGTCCCCGGGTGTCTGCCAGCGCCTGAAACCACTGCTCATCGCTGGTTGTCTCTTTCTGCTTCGTGGCGTACGTCGTCTCCAGGAGATGCCCATACTCATCATGATGCAGGTCTCCTGGTGTCGCTGCATTCTCGTCCCGCTCTGCTGCTGCTGCCACCATTTTCTGATACTTCTCACGATCACGTTGGGCTCGCTTGAGTCCTTTCTCTTTGTGGGCCGTGGTGGTGGCGATCTCGATCTTCACTGGCTGGATCGGCATCTGCACCTTGACCGAGGCGGGTCGCGAGTGCAGGCGCAGGTGGAGGCCAACGTGTGGGCTCCATGGTACATCCCTCACAGGCTTGAATTCTTTCACAAAAGGGCGAAAGTCTCGCGAAGCTATCCCGTAATCTATGAGTCTGCCTTTGCCTGTGGAACATGTGACGGTGCAATCGCTTGGTATCAGCAACTCTCCCCTCAGAGCCTTCAACCATGGTGACTGCTGCATCTGCGTCGGTGTGTTGTTCCAATCTCCGAGTGCAACCCATGGCACTCCTAGGGACTTCACCACTCGTGTCAGCTGTACCATCTTGGCGACGTTCGCTGGTCCATCAAGTCCCACACTGCAATCAAGATACACCGTGATCAAAGCCAGCGTTGCCCCTTTCAAACGCCAGAGGATGATCGAGATGTCGCGCAGTTCTTTCTGAAATACACTGTGCCCCGTGCCATCGGGCAAGTGCGCTGCCGTGACGTGGCCTGCTCTGGCAAGCCAGCACGTCCCCCCTTGAGTACCAGACTTACTCCGCATCGATGGTGTCGCAGGCGTCCACGAGAACTGTGATTGCCACCCCTTGAATCTCAGTTTCTTGATCTCCTGCTTGGCGGCCTTTGGGAGCAGGTGATGCTCTGCTAAGCCGATCATGTCAAAACTGCAGTGCTCCACATAGTGTCGCACCTTTTCCCCGTAGTGCGTGACATTGGCGAACAGCACGTCCACATAGCCACACTTCATTCGTGTAGGTCGTTCTTTCTTTGTGTTGACGATGGCGCTGTCAGGAGCTCGACGGTGCAACGCTGGCTGCCCCTTTGGCCCTGGCACGGAGCGCCGCTGTCTTGGCAATGTACTGGTCAATCGCACTCGGGTCCGTGAAGTCCACCGCCTCTGGGGTTGACGCTGCGGCGGTCTCGTCTGGTTCCGCAGCTGTTCCTTGGGCTTCACCTCCCGCTCCTCTGCGCCTCTTGATGGAGTTGTGCAGCGTTCGCAGCCTCTCTGCAGCCTCACGTGCCGCTTTGCCCGCATCAGTGGCCGACTTGAGCAGGTTGCGAGCCTTCTTGTGAGCCGCTGCCGCTTCTTCGTACTGTTTCCGAGTGGGTTCATCGAGGGATGCCAATTCCTCAGTCTCCAACTCTGGGAAATCTTCTTCATGTTCTTGATGTGCCTGTTGTGCTTGCCGTGCGTCCGACTGTGGTCCTCCTGCCTTGGTCTTGCCCACCAGTTCGTCGATCTCGGACTGCGCAGACTGGCATTCATCGATGTTGGTCCTGAGCTTGGTTTGCATATCTTTGAGAGTCTGGGCCGCCTGCAACAGCTGGTTCTTGATCCGCCCCTGCTGCGCCTGGAGCTGGCGGAGCTGTTGCGCCTTCTGTGCCAGGCGCTCCACCGGTGAGGCCTCTGGTGGCGGCTTCCACGCAGCTTCCAAGTCTGGGCAGACGGCCAGGAGCTTGGTCTGGCCCTCCTGATCTCCGTCCTCCTTGGCCTTGTTGAACTTGGGGAGGAGTACCTGGAGGATCGGGTCCAGGCCAACTCCGCTTCCCTTGATACATGATCGGAGGGGCAAGCTCGCGCCTCCCTCAGTCTCCCCCAGGTCGAACGTGACAATCGCCCTGGCTGGATCCTTCCACAGACGGCCACACTCTCGACAGCTCTCCCATCCCGTCTTCCCTGCCTTGTGCACAAAAACCCAAGACCGAGGGCAAGTAGGGCATACCAGATACTCATTCTTGCGGCTGCGGCTGGACGATCGCGGGCGGTCATGCTTGCCCCCCTTGGTCATCCGCAGCTGCAGCTGGTCCGATCAAATCACGCGCAACTTCCGCCGCCCTCTGGGCGCCCCTCAAGCCGCGGGTGTGCCTGGCCGCCCTGCGCTCGCAGGGCACCGACACACGGTACGCGTGCGCGTGTGCGGGTCGGGGCCTCCCCCCAAGAAGGCCTGACCCACAATGGCTTGAGGGAGAGGAGGAGGAGGAGGAGGAGGAGGAGGAGGAGGAGGAGGAGGAGGAGGAGGAGGAGGAGGAGGAGGAGGAGGAGGGGGGAGGAGGGGGGAGGAGGAGGAGGAGGAGGAGGAGGAGGAGGAGGAGGAGGAGGAGGAGGAGGAGGAGGAAGGGGCACTGGGCGGCTTCCCAGGACGGGCGGCCTGCCAGAGGGGGCTTCCCGCCGACCTGGGCGCGGACGGGCCCGCGAGTCCGCCGATTTTGCCGCTCATGAGCGCTTCTTTTTTGTGCGGCGTTTCGGCATTGGGCGGAAGGGGGGCGGGAAGGGTGAGGGTTTGCCTCAGGACCTCTGCTTTGTTGGGGACCGTGCGTCCTATGGGGAAGACTCCACCTGCTCGAAACGAGCGCCAAAAACAGCCAAGATCTACTGCATTTTGGGGGGGGAGGGAGGGGTGCGAGGGCCCGCGCCGATCGGCAATTAATGAATAAAAAACGATCACTTTGTCGGGGGTGAGAAGGCGTGAGACATGTGGCTGTCCTCCTTCCCCTTTCCCCTTCCCCCAGGGTCCCAAGAGATACTCCCCACGATCGAGACGAGCTCTCACTCCGTCTGGGGGACGGCGGAGTGGCGCAAGCCATTCGATTAAGAGGCCCCCCGCGAGGGGTCCGAGTGGATGGGGTCGGAGGATCGCGCCGCATTGACAGTGCATCGGCGATGCGTCAGCGATGGATCCGCGATGTCGGCAGAAGACCATCGGGATCCGCACCGAGTCACATCGCCGATACGTCGGCGATGCGGAGCCATTCTCCGAGCCCGTCTGCTCGGACCCCCCTGACGCCCTCTTGGGCAGCGCTCCGATTCCTGTGCCCCCTTCCTGGACGGATCGGGACCCCCCCTGGGAGGCCCTCTTGGGCCTCCCAGGGACCCCCCCTGGGACGCCCTCTTGGGAGGCCCTCTTCCTGGCCGGATCGTGACCCCCCCATGGGACGCCCTCTTGGGCAGCGCTCCGATTCCTGTGCCCTCCTCCTGCCCCCTCTCCATCTGCCTCCTCTGACGGGCCGACTTTCCACCACCACTACCATAGGTAGGAGTAGGGAGGAGGAGGAGGAGGAGGAGGAGGAGGAGGAGGAGGAGGAGGAGGACGAGGAGGAGGAGAAGGAGGGGGAGGAGAAAAAAAAAAAAAGACATCCACATCCTCCCTTCTCCCCCGTCCTACCTATGGTAGTGGTGGTGATCAATCGGCTCATCATCCTCGCCGCCGCCGCTCGCCTCCCCGAGGCCGCGACGAGCCTCGACGTCGCCGCCGGGCCGTCGCCGACGTCGTCGGGCTGACGCCGACACTGTCGCCGTCGCCTGCTCCTGACATCCTCGCGGTGGTCAGAGACATCGACATCCAGTCGGTATGAACATGAGTGGGTCTGAGCACGGGCGGCTTAGTTAGAGGCCTCCTAGATGGGGTCGGAGTAGATGGGGTCGGAGGATCGCGCCACATCGCCGATACATCGGCGATGCATCGGTGATGCATCGCCGACAACGACGTGAAGCAAATCAGGCCCCGCATGGAGCCGCATCGGCGATGCATCGGCGATGCGGCGCGATCCTCCGACCCCATCTATTCCGATCCCATCTAGGAGGCCTCGACGAGTGTGAGTGGGTCGGAGTATAAGCAAGGAAAGGTGCATGAAACTGGGTATGCGTGGGTCTGGCCACGAGTGGCCAGGTTCGAGCGTGAGTGAGTCTTAGTGTGAATAATTCTGAGGACGAGTAAGTCTGACAGTCTGAGTATGAGTGAGCCTGAGTATGGCATATGGGTGTGTGTGTGAGCATGAGAGCGTCTGCGTTTGAGCGAATCTGAGCATGAGTGAGGCGGAGTTGAGGGATGAAGCAGGCGGGCGAGGGAGGCCAGAGCGTAAGCTTATGACATTGAATGAAGAACTCCGCACTGTGCACTCGCCGTGGAGCTGGCCCTGATGTGTGCGGCTCCTCCACACCGATGTTCTTGGAAGTGTCTGGCTGACGGAGGAGAAAACACCGGGGCATTCGGTCCGCTGGTGCCCACTGCCGCGCCAGTACATGGCAACTCCGCGACCAAAACGGACGAGGGGAACCAGCGGTGCTGACGCCGCCAGCGGTGCTGACGGGGAGGGGGGAGGAGGGGGAGGAAGGAGGAGGAGGAGGGGGGAGGAGGAGGAGGAGGAGGAGGAGGAGGAGGAGGAGGAGGAGGAGGAGGAGGAGGAGGAGGGGAGGAGGAGGAGGAGGAGGAGAAAGAGGAGGAGGAGGAGGAGGAGGAGGAGGAGGAGGAGGAGGAGGAGGAGGAGGAGGAGGAGGAGGGGGAGGAGGGGGAGGGGGAGGAGGAGGAGGAGGAGGAGGAGGGAGGAGGAGGAGGAGGAGGAGGAGGCGGAGATGGAGGAGGAGGCGGAGGCTTCGGTGGCAGCTCTGATGCCCACGCCGCAGGTCGTGGCCCCCCTCCCCCGAGGCGTAGGCGGCAGGAGCTCTAGGCGGCAGGGGCGGGACGGGCCTGCGCCTTGCCGTTCAGCGCGAGCTCCAGGGCCTCTCGCGCCGCGATCCTCCTCTTCTCTTCCCTCCTCCTCCCAACCCATCCTCTCCTCCTCCTATCCTTCCCTCCTCTCCTCCTCCTCCTCTCCTCCTCTCCTCCTTCCCTCCTCCTCTCCTCCTCCTCCTCCTCCTCTCCTTCCCTCCTCCTATCCTTATGAATAGCTTCCCCCCGTCGCACCCCCGGACGCGTTGGCAGGGTGGGCCGGGCGTTGCGCCAGAGACTTCCTCACCATCTATGACCCTGACACTTGAAACTCGCAACAGCTTCACGGATGGAGGGCGGTTCGTTTTCAAAATGGAGCTCTCGCCTTCGCGCCGCGCACACTCGAAATAGCTTCACGAATGGAGGGCGGCACGTTTGCAAAATGTGGCTCTCTCCTGAGCGCCGCGCGAATTTCTTTGCAAAAGTTAGCAGCACAAAGAAACATAGGGGGCGGCTCCGTATTTTTTCGAAATGATGTGGCTCTCGCCCCAGCGTCGCGCACATTCGTCTGAAAAGTCTTCAACAAGTTGAAAGATTTGTATGGCTGAGGTCCAAGGAATGGTGTCGTGACACGACTTAGGATTGTCAGGACGCAACACATGACTACCCCCCCAACCCGAAGACCCGAATTTCGGGTTGGGGGGGGTACGGGTTCCATATGTGTTTTCTCGATGTTCCCCGACCCCCCCACTGGAAATAGAGGTAAATTTGAGGCCTTCGGGTTGGGTTGGGGTGGTTTAGTGGGTGGTGAGCACACGTTGATTCGCGGCGTTGAAGTCCCAAGATTAAGTGTTCTGGCACGATTGAGGACTACCGGAACGCAGCAGCCACTTTCAGTCGCGGCGGTGACGTCCCAGGACTGGTGTCTTGGCACGATTGAGACCTCTGAGGCGCTTGTCTTCCGACGTGGCACTTCCCGCAAGCAGAATAAACTCCTGCGGGGGCCGAGAAAGAGGACCTGGAGGGAAGGCTCGTTGCAGCATCGCTGATGCGCCTCAGGTTTGCACGTGTCCCACTCCCCCTTCCGTTTTTCTCCCACCTCCACAGCGTCGGACGCCTTCTGCGTCCGCTCGGTGTTCAAGACGTCCAGCTCGAGGGTGGGGCGTTCCAGCTGCTCGGGCTTGGACCACTTCTCGCGCGCGTCCTCGCCAGGGGCGGGGGGGGGGGGGGCAGCGCGGGCAGAGGGCAGGGGAGGAGGAGGAGGAGGAGGAGGAGGAGGGAGGAGGAGAGAGGGGAGGAGGAGGAGGAGGAGGAGGAGGAGGAGGAGGAGGAGGGGAGGAGGAGGAGGAGGAGGAGGAGGGGGAGGAGGAGGAGGAGGAGGGGGAGGGGGAGGGGGAGGGGGAGGAGGAGGGGGAGGGGGAGGGGGAGGGGGAGGGGGAGGGGGAGGGGGAAGAGGAGGGGGGATGGCGGATGAGCAGGCGGGTGAGCAGGAATCGGACTCAGAAGCCAGTGGAGACCAGGAAAAGCCTGGGCACACAAGAGGGTACGTCACACCTGCAGGGAGCGGCCTCAACTCCCGGGAGGAAGGCTCCTTCCCAGACGGGGCAACACTTCCTTCCAAACTTTGGCGGGGGGGCGAGCCATGGCCTGTCGCGGATGGGCAAATCTCTGTGCATTGACTGGTGCGTGAGCACAGCCAACTGTCACAGCAAATGGCCCCTCGAAGCACTTGAAGCCTGCGAGTGGCCGAACACTCAGGATACAAAGGGTGCCAGAGGGGGTAAAACGAAAGATGTCAGGGCAGAAGGTCCCAGCAAGCAGTAGATGAATGATGTCCAACAGGTTTTGAAAACAGCTGTTGCCCGCGAGCTCGCCGCGCGGGAGGGGGCGCGCGCGGGCGCACTACTCAGGGAACGCGCGCCATCATACAAGACACCGCCTACAACATGAGCACCTTCGCGCGAACCGGCACCAGCAGTGAACATATGCGGGGATGCGATTAACCCTGCGCCGTGCTGCGAGCTCACCGCGTGGAAGTCTCGCAGCGAGGCGCGCGAGGCGCAGCATAGTACACGCGAAGCGTGTGTGTGTGTGTGTGTGCCTGCCACATGTGGACTCGACACGCCAGGAAAATCTCGAAATTACGTTCGACATGAACTCCGGCATGAATGTCGAATCAATTCTTGAGGACGCTCAAGTGTGACTGCAGCCGAAAACACGACTCCAAAAACTCAATTGAAATTTGACTCGAAATTCAACTCGCACATCCCCCCCTCCGAAATTCATGCTGGCAATTTCGAGATTCGGGGGGCGGTCTGGGGTAAGCGCTTTAGCGAGCGCACCGCTTTCGCGATAACTGCGTTGCGCGTCGCGCGCGACACCGCCGCGCGCATGGGCGCTCGAAAGCGATGAAAACGCATGAGACGCCCTGGCAGCACCCACCACTGGCATCCGCTACCTACTAGCAACGCGCACAGGATAAATACTGTACAACATTCGACGCGGCTTAGCTTGTTCTCGCCCGAACACATGCCTAATCCGAATAAAAAATAAAAAAAACAAAAAAAAAAAAAAAAAAAAAAAAAAAAAAAAAAAAGGCCCACTCAGGAGGTGCTGCTGAGACTTCCTAGCCTGAAGAGGTGCCCTGGCCCGAAACAGGGGCCAGGGCAGGGCAGGATGCGCGAGCCTGACCGCGCAGCAGACTCCGACGGCCGCACGCCCGACGCGCAGGACAGCAGCCGCACCCGACGGGCTCGCGGCCCGCCCTCCGCTGGGGGGGCCACATGCGAGCCCCACCCCCGCCCCCCACGATTCCTGAGGGGGAGAGGGGGGGGTCCCTTCGCGCGGGAGGTCCCGAGCGAAGTGAACCCCCGCCCTCCCCCTCGGAAATCGCGGGGGGGCAGGGGGTGGGGCTCGCGTGCGGCCCCCTGAGCAGCCGCGCTCGACGGGCCCGCGGCCCGCCCTCCGCAGCCGCTCGCGCCCCGCGCAGGACGGCGGGGAGGGGGGGGCGGGGAGGCGGCCGAGCCGGGCGGCCGAGCCTGTCGGGGACACGCCGGGGGCCAGCCTGCGCCCTCTCCTCATGCACAGCAGGCAGCCTACAGGGCAGGTTTTCATACATACAGGATGCTAAAAATGTAGGATTGTGAATACATGATCAATTTACGAATAAGTCTATGCATGGACTCGTCGTTTTTCGTAGTACTGAATCCCTGCATGTTTGATACATGATCCGCACGCGGAGCATGTATTAAAAACGGCACTGTGATTACCCCAAGGTGGCGGCGGTGAAGCGATCGAGATATACCCCGTGGAGCCATGTTGTTCGATAGCTGGACAACACTGTCGGCCGCCCGACCAGCCAAACTGTCGGCGCAACCGTCAAGACAAGAGTCATCTCCGATGGCGGATCAGGCACTCTGGTGGCCCGTCGACCAACGATTGGTCAAAAGAACCCCAAGCCGACTGTGACGACGATCGAGAACCGACCGGTTCCGAGACCACAGATCGAGCATCGAACTGTCGGCGACTACCTGAACGCGCGGCTGCCGAACTGCTCCTGCGTAAGTGGAAGATCTACATCAAGAACGCCTGCAACTCAACCCTACGGCTCCACTGCTCCACAGTCAAAACGACTACCACACATCACAGAATCCCACTGCAGTTCAAGACCATCAGGTTCCCAAGACGCACCACGACCACCTCCGGAGACCCTGCGAGCGAGAAAAGGAGCCAGAGCCCGGGCCATGTCCAGGGGAGGAGGGAGGTGCCGACAGCTGGCCTCCAGAGGTGGAAGCCCACGAGTGAAAAGGACATTGTCGGGATCGGCGTGTGGAGCTTCTTCTACCAAACAATCACTGCTAGAGAAGGCACGGTCCAGAAGCAAACAGTGCGATGGGCATCCCCTGCAACGATCGATCCGGAACTTGTCAGCATCACAACAACGAATGCATCTCTAATTCGCGAGATTGTCGCTTTCCCCGGAACGACTCCCTGGCCAGCATGCACCAACACTGGTGTACAACAGCGTTGCTTCTGTGAAGTTCCCGTCGTCAAGCACCTCGTTACGTTTGGTCCTGAGGACGGTGAAATCTGCGCCGCGCGCGAAGCCTTGACCATAGTGGTGCCCACCAGCAGCGGGCCGCGCTCACGCGGGCAAGCGGTGATGTGATGGAGAAAACAAACTACAGAGAGACAAAGATGCACCTCAAATAGGCGAACGACACATCAAATTGGATGTCGTTCGTTGGGGCCCTCGCAGTGGCACACCAGGCTAGGTGCCACAGCAAATGCCAAGGCACCTCAAATCATGGACCTAGTTTGGAGGCTCGAGCCCTGGCACGAACGACGCATCAAATCGGCGAAGCCCCCAAACTAGGTCCATGATGGCGGCGCACAACGCGGCAACACCAACCCGAACGTTCCCCCGACGGTGCTGGGGAGAGGCAAAGACCGGCTCACCGCGAAGAGCCGTCGACACCTGCCAGTGTCGATTACCAAGAGAGGGTCGGTCTTAATGTTGCGCAGAACCTGGAGGGCGGATGCGGCGCAGGCCACCGAGGACTCAAATCTAAAGCACGACGCGGCCGATGTGCGAATTTCTGTGATGTGTCCCCCCCCCAATATATATATATATATATATATATATATATATATATATACTGTGGTCCCAAAATCCCACGGCCAAGAAAACCTGGCTTGAAAACTGTATAGGAAGCGCTGCAAAACTTGACCAGGTGGGCGCATGTGCAAAAACGGCGACGCGCAAAAGCACGACGCTGCTGAACCTCCCGTGATGACATAATCATGTACGCCGCGGTGGTACCGCAGGCATCCTTCGCACTCGGCGCGAAGCTGATGGAAAGAAAACGCATGCGAAACTCAGCCTGCAGGAGCCACTGCAGCTCCACCGATGAAGGAAACGCAAGAGACGAACGGCTGACCACGCAGTCCAATTTGGCGGTGCCACTCAAACTCACGAATAACAGAAACAGATTCGCCAGCGTGGACCCCAAACAATACGTTGTTGCAGACTACGCGGTGCAATATATGTGATGCACTGTATGTGATATAACCGACGTAATGCAACATACGCGGTGCAATCTATGCGGTGCAATGTATGTGGTGCGATTTACGCGATGCAACCGACGCGATGCAACATGTGCGGTGCAATATACGTGGTACAATAAATTATTGTTCGCACTGAATTGTCCACTCCTCTGCTCGCTCAAACATCCCACCCATCCACCCGCAACTTGGTTTGCTAACCTCATGCGACGGCGATTGCGATGAGTGTTTGTCGCTGGCTGGTGCATCTTTGCGGCCGCGCCAGCCCGCGCATGCGCGTGCGCGGCGGCCAGGCAGTTTGGCGCGACCGACGCGGTCGTGGTGGTGCTGACCGGTCGGCACATCCAGGCGGGCACGGCAACGTCGACACCTGTAGACACGATGCTGATGATAGTAGCGATGTTGGTGACGGTGCTGACAGCGACGACGGCACGGCCAGTGACGGCGCCGACATCGATCACGCCGACGACGATGACGGCGTCTTCGCGTCGATGATGAAGGTTTTGAGGCGGCAGACGCGCGAGAGTGGCTCGCATGGTATTATTTGACACGGATCGTGCCAACCCAGCACTCGCACAAGGGCGCTCGAACGATTTCGACATGCGCGCGCGAAGCCCGCTTGGTATCATGTTATGAGAATGTTGAGTTCACAAGAACGCGCGCACGCGTTTGTCGAAAATCACTGTTGCGCAATCCTGTGTTTGTATGTTTTGCTGGGACACTCGATTTTGACATCCTTCCGAAACCCGGTTTTTGAAGGATTTAGGCATGCGCGCGCGACGACGCGCACGCGCGCACTTCGCCCCATCTTCTGCAAAGGATTGTCGCGACGGCACGCGCGCAAGGGCGTTCGAACGAGATCGACACGCGCGCGCGAAGCCCGTTTGGTAGCATTTACCGAAAGTCGCTTTAGTACAACAACTATGGTCTTCTTAAGAATTAGCCAGGGCGCGCGCACATTTTTTTTTGAAGTCCACGTTGCGAACCCATGTGTGTTATATGTTGTTTGTACATTCGATTTTGAAATCCTTCCGGAACCAACGGTTTTTGAATGATTTCGGCATGCGCACGCGACGACGCGCGCGCGTGCACTTCGCCCCCATTCTTCTAAGGGATTCTTGGAAATTTGTGATGTTTGAT